CATGCACATGGTCCGAGGTTCGACTACCTTCCGACGCACACTTGATATCTATGGTCGGCCTGCAAAATTTGGGCTACCGATATCACATGCTGAAAATTCCACACTTATACCAAAAATACTGTGTGGTTTCAAGCTATTATCAAAAATAAATAAAAAGTTAACTTCTAAATTTTGATTACTAAACTAAAGCGTTTAACCGACTGGACTCAATCATCAATTGAAATTAGACGATATGCCATTATCCACTACTGACAAGTTTATATTTTAGTTTTGTAGTCTGATCATCTATGATGATATTTAAATATTGGATTGTACAAGTTTTGTGATTTCGTTGAGCCTTAAATGCAAATCAAATCAGTGGTTTAGAATAAACAATCATCCTTGCAAGGATAAATAGAAGTTCCATTCTGTCCAGTAAGTTATCAAAAAAACACTCCTAAATAACCTTAAAGAAAAGTGATTGCATTGCTAGTGAAGCAATTTAGTAAACGCTGCCATTCTACGATGAAGACATAACTAATATTTCTAACATTTCTGATCCCAGACGACTGACTGCTTGGAAAATAAGTTAATGCTTTATATTTTATGGTTTCCATTTCTGAAATATATATTTCCTCAATAGTTGTTGTTTTCAAATTATTATATTTTGAGATCTTATTATTATAAATCATTAAACAGCTGTATATCAACAAAGATATAAAAACAAAGTACAAAGATTTATTTCCAATCACAGATCGTGTTTATTCAAACTATTCGAAATAATCCCATTACAAATTAAAAAATTCTTCAGATTGTATAAATAAATTCATGCCTTTCAAATTTATGTTATTTCTGTCTTGATCTGATTAATTCAAGCAAGTATGTGGTGCCTCGGTTGTTCAGCGGTAGGATGCTTTTCAATCACCCATGTGGATTAGGGTTCGATTTCTGGCCGACACTCCTAAACCTCTCATGGCCAGTAGTAAGCCCAGCAAAGGGGAACTGGTGGGTGTGGAGCTCGCAAACTTTCGCCTTAAACAACACACTACTGCTACTATAAATTCAAAACCCAAGCTTGAAGCCCTATAATTTTCTTGGGACGCAAAGGAATAAAACAAAAAGCAAGCAGATGTTTGCGTATATCAGTGTACACAGTACACTGTCAACAGTACACAGTCACAGCTTCACCAGGGATCGAATTCAGAACTTTCCCGTGTTGTGGTAAAACTCTGGATAAAAGTCACAATTAACACCTGACGTGATGAACCCCATTATCCACAGCATCACATAAAAACTTCAGGACATCAGTCTTAAAACTACTAGGTTGTGGATGTGTACATGTGTACAGTTTCCCTTGATTCTCAATGATTCTCTAAACAATGTCTTTTCGTGACGGAATATGCAGTGAAGCTAATTAATACTTTGAAAATCCCAAATAATAAATAAATATATAAACGTGTATGATATCATGATGTCATGCAGTCATTTTTGTAAATTATTTAAATGACTGATTTAAGTGTTTGCTAACATATTTCATTATTTCTGTGTTAGCCATATTTTATAAATAGTCTTATCCTTATATTTTGAAACACTTTATTTACCTGTATTATTTCTGAAAGCAAAGTTTAGATAGCATTTACTGGCAATTCTTTTACTTTACTTTCAATAGCACTTAACAGCTTTAAGTAGATTTGACTGGTGTGCAAAATTTTCACTATGGACCAGATTTTATTTTGATAAATCACACAGTGTTGTACAGTAGTATTTACGGATAACGTTTGGAGTACAATTTATTACTGCTCATAATCATATCACGGCACTCACCCAACGTTTTACTTCATTTAAATACATCAGTAAAAATTGACTAGACATCTGAATAAAATTAATATTAGATAATGTACATTCCGAAATAGTATTATTGTTGTCAATAAAATACAGTAAGATGGGAAACAAGATGTTTTTATAGTAAAAATAAGTAACTTGTTAGAATGTCGTAAGGAATGTGAATTGAAAGGGAATTTTAAGATTATTTTTTATTCACGTCTGATTTGGTAGTAATACCTTCCGTATCTCTGTTGCATGTGTTGGGTGTAGACTTGATGAACCAGGATTGAGTAATAAATCTCTCTCTCTCCACCTATCAATTTTACTTTTTGAAATTTTGACTCTGTCCCACCCTATTGTGTAGTTGTGTGTCAACGCATACAGTGCGATTACTGAGATTTTTTCTAAATTACTTATCTTCGTGGGATCAATCATGCTAACCTTAGCTAAATTCACATGTTCTGATAATCAAACTACTTCTGATCTACTTGTTTGACCTATGTAGTTTACCTCATAGTCATTTCAAGGAATTTAGTAAATTATATTATTCTGTCTAATTGAGTCACCTGTATCCTGAAACCTACAGAGCTTGTCTCTGAAAGAAATTGTAGGTTTAAATGTCACCCAAATTCCTGCTTTATTGAGAATCCTACGTAGGTCACACCAGTAGATCAGAAGTAGTGTGATTATCAGAAGTAAACGGTGTGTTAGTGCCCTGATATGATTATGGGCATTAGTTTGTGCTCGAAACGTCGTCAGTAAATATTACTGTCCAACACTGTGTGATTTATCGAGATAAAAGCTTAACCATAATGGAGTTGAACTCTACCACAGTGTCCAAGTTTTATATTTATACCAATAGTGTAAAGTTTACATTGACTGTTTAATAATGTCTGTTTTGTTTCAAACAATCAGTAAAATCCATGATCGTTAGTAAAACATCTTATCAACCTTGCGTCGGTGGCACAGTGGTTAGGACTCTTGCCGACCATGTACATGGTCCGAGGTTCGATCCCCTGCCGACCCACACCTGATATCTATGGTCAGGCTACGAAATTTTGGGCTACCGATATCCATGCTGAGAATTCCATATTTGTACCAAAAGTACAGTGTGGAATCACGCTGTAATCCAAAAACCTTATCGTCGGCGTGGCTACCAAATAAGGTGAAATACTGAATAATTATTTGTTTTGGTATAATGAACTCAACTGAAGTTACAGACTTGCGAGGTATATTGACTTAACTGCTCAATTTTAAACCAATAGTTCTCCATTTCGAATCAGGCTTCACTAAAGTTAGCCTAGAAAATAGAGTAGTATTATTAGCTCTCACACAGTCAGCATCACTTCTAACCTCGCAAATGAGGCGTCGGTGACACAGTGGTTAGGACGCTCGCCAACCATGCACATGGTCTGGGATTTAATCCACGGCCACAGACGCACTACTTTACCTCGCTAAGCCAGAAATAACGCTGGTAAAGAGGAAAAGTTGGGGATGAGGCTATCAACCCCATCCTGTAAAATAAACACTGCTACAGAAACTTCAAGCCACTAGCTTGAGACCCTATGTCCCGCTGGGAACGTGAAGGTAAAAAATAGCCTTGTAAATAAAAAAATGAATCCCAGTAGCTGAGTTCAAATTATACAGAGTTAGTGTTTCCTTTTAATTTTAGAGAGTTAAATATAGATAGTGTATGAATGTTATTTGTTCCACCTGTTTTAAGAAATTAAGGCTTTATTCCTTTCTACAATCTGGCAACGCCTATCCTTAGTGTACAACTAGTAAGTCCTTCACTTATATTAACAAATTGAGTTGTTACTTCACATTCAAGCATTCTACCCACTACACCCATGACGTAAAGTATAATTTGAAAAATTCATCTATTTTTTCAACACGGATGAATAAGCTAATAGACTTTATCATATTTATTTTTAGTACTTTACTGGTATATCTCAGTTTTTATCTTTGCAATGAGTTCAATTCTTTCTCGTTATAACTTGACAGGTACTTCTTTTATTTGCAAAAAACAACTTAAGAAAAACATGACATATGGTGAAGAAAAGCACGATCCATAGATTTTATCAATTTAGTTTTAGCTCTCCAGTCAAATACCTCACATAGTTATTTACGTCATATAGTAATGAAGGAGGATTTACACTTCAAAATAAGATGGTGATTAAAGTTTAGTAACATTTTTTGGTAAATGGTGGGAGTAATTTACATGTCAGTCATCAAACGTATTAAATAGGACGTACATATGGATAAGAATATAGCTACATTATTGTTAGATTAATATTCAGTAATTTAATAAAACGTTTGACTTTATTAAAGACCTAGACAAATAAGAATTTATTTAAGTGAAAGCTTTGTAATAAATAGAGAAATTCTGAAATTAATATAAAGCCAAGTAACAGAAGTTGCAAGCAGGTTGGATAACCGTATCAAACTGCATATATATATATGTATACATATTACCATGGCATATTTGTGCATCGGTGTCACAGCGGTAGAATGCTAATCAACCATGCAGGTGGTTTAAGGTTCGATCCCTGGCCGACTCACTCCTTTACCTTGCCAAGACTGATAAAGAGGGAAGGTTGGGCATGAGGCTAGTAACCCCAATGTTACCGATCTTCAAAGCCTCTAGCTTGAAGCCCTATGTTCCAAGGGGAATGTAAAGGAATAAAATAATAATAACTATTCCCCATGGCAAGTTTTGTACCCAAAAGCTTGACTTGTAGTATCAGATTTCCTGGGCTATCATAATTTTAGATATTTACTTATTTCGACACTGTACTGGCAGTTTGATAAATACATTGTTATCTATTTTCTTCACGTGTTCTCCTCTATGTATTTTAAACCCTTTAGAGAATTCTCGATTCTATGAGTAGACAGTTACTTTTTGCATCTAAAAACATTTAAGGTAATATATGCATTGGAAAGCGTCCAATATTTCATATCTTTTTCACAGTCACTGCTCTTTATGACATGATAAAACTACATAGATTTCATTTTGTAGATCCACTATAGTTATATTTTTGTTTACCATCTGAGGTAACTATTGCATCTTACAACAAACGCTAGTATTAAGGATACATAAATGGCATCTCAAGGTTGATTATTGATATTACTTTATTTGGAATTATTTTCGGTTGATGTGCAAGCTTCCATTTTTTCTCTTCTTTTTCTTTGAATAGACGTTGTACCGTCTGAATCTTCAAATGGCACTAGTCATCGTAGTATTTCATTAACTGCAAGTCGATTACCTCAACAATTCAGCCAACCTCCACCAGCAACAAAAAGTCCCGTAGCCCTTGAAGTTCGTATATTACCGTCATTTTGTTGGAATGCTGATCACGTACTCTATTGGTTACGTGAATATGTTTGTTTGCCAGGTGGATGTTTAGAAGCTGCTAGTCGACTTCGAATGGATGGAAAACAGCTGACAAGTGTTATTGACAAGAAAGTTGAAAAGTTACTCAATTTAAAGTAAGTTGTTCTATTTTGCGAAAAAATCTAATGAGAATAATGTTTCACTAAATGCTTTAAATGTAGTGGAATTAAATAATTCATGAAATAGTGTCTAAATTTTCAATTTAGGCGCAAAAATTAACAATTACTAGTCCAGGTTGACAATTTTCGCCACTCTTGATATATCTTAGAAATTTTCTTAAAAAGTGCGTTGAAAATGTATAATGAAATTTTAAATTCTTATTCGATAGCATTAAAAATGAGATGTGCTAAATTGTCCACAATGAATATAGTTGTGAGAATGATAAACTTGCTACGTTTATTGTTTCAAACTATGAGAATTCCTATGCTTTCGACCTTTGCCACACCCTTTTTCCCTACTATCGAATGAAAGTATTGATAAAGTTCCATATTTGAATGAACAAGTATAAATTCATACAGCTTTCAAACTGCTTTTAAAACTTTGTGTAACGCAGACGAAATTATCTTCAGGCCAAAAAACAATAAATAAACAAACTGTCACCCTGTTTCAAAATTTTTCTCGATTACCTTCGACCTCGGAAACGTAACCATAGCAGGTTTTCCTCGAAACATTCATCATTTAGGTTTTTTTATCTTCTATCTATTAGTTGGTTGGAATTCTTCAACGTGATCTTAAGTTATGTCTTCAGTTGTTCTTTTTTCCATGGTATGTCTCACCTGATTAACATAAATCCAATATCTAACTAAAATGAACATTTTAGATTTACCAAATGAGAAAATAGTGATAAAAAGTTTCTCTAAAATGAGCTGTAACATGCATAGATGGTGAGATATACTACAATATTAGACTATATTTTGCTATACATCCAATGAATTTCGACAGTTTTACTAGCCTATACTAAGTCAAGATGAGAAAGAAGATTGTTCAGAGTAGTATCAATGATAAGCGGCGCAGACGAAGATGCCGAACCTATGATGAGATCCCAATACAGAAATAGGCATCAATTACTCTAAAATCACTGTAGAAATTCACAGCAATTTACATAATTACTATGATCAAATTTTTTTCACAAACTTTGTGCGTGCTTCATCAAAAGTATTTCCAACATACTAATGTAGACTTTCATTAAATGCTGCACTCAGTAATGTATGTAAAATGGCTGGCCAGGAAAAATAGGCAACAAGGGACTCAGTTAGCAAACAAGAGAAGCAACTATCACTCAATAAATATACAGAAGTAAGTAGAGATGGACTGGATATCTGCTACGGAGACTCCAAAGTGATATCACACACTGGTCCCTAGAGTGAAATCCGAATGGGGGGCGACAAGTCGTGTCTCGGAGTGTTACATGGGAGGTATCTTATGATGAGTAGGTGGAAGCCTATGGGCCGTCATGGCACTCGATGAAAATAGTGGCAGAAAATGAAATCCAGCGAAGATATTCCGCTAAAGCAAACTTAAAACGCGTGGAATGAATATTTATTTTACTATAATAACTGAGAAGACAGGAGAAAACAAAAATTTGTAGCAGAGTTGTTCTCATTAGATAAGATTCAATTGAAATACTTATACGATGGTTTACAGCGTAAAGTTGTATTCAATTAGAAGAAAGTTTAAAGTGACTAGAGACAAAACACACTACTAGTTATGTATTCTCTGGACTTTTATCTGAATTAATTATAAAGGTCCCAGGAAATCAACTGATATTACCAGTTACCTGGTAATCAATAGCTAAATCTCAAATACTGATATGGTCTTACCTCTTCAAACAAAATGGAAACTGTTTCAGATTTAGCAAATAATTACCTACAAACTCTGTAATTATAAACCAAGCTAAGATATAGTGAATGGAAAGAATTAGGTGTATAGTATTAGTTATTGCAAAAAATTCTCGTATTCTCCAGTAAAATGGTAACAAAACGTATTGGTTTTACTGTTGTTTCACTATTTAATTCATATGGCTTTACAGCCTACAAATTGTTCATTATGATGCAGCAAGAAATAATGTGAAACCTGAAAACCGAATTTTTTTATCAGTGTAATCAAAAAGTGAGTGGACATATGAAAAAAACAGTTACGGATATTCAGTCTTTGCATGTTTCAATCTCATTAAAGCCTATGATTTCTTACCTTTAAAACAAATAGTATAATTTGGAAATGAGTGGTAGTGTTCACAGTAAACAGCCTTGTCTCTGCCTGCACTCATTAGGAAGATACATTTATACTAACCATTAAGATTACAAACAGGACAGAAACTCTTTAGTGAAAGTGATATAGTCAGAATAATTTAATTGCCTTGAAATATCAACTTAGTAGAGTTAGTTTGTCATTTACTGGAAGGTTTCTTATGTGTTTAAATCATTTGCTACACAAAAGTTGACAAAGTAAGGCGCTTTATTCTATCATGGATCACCTATTCTTAAAGCACTCAACTTCCTTTCCTATGATCCGATGTCTTTTATGTATTTATTCCACAGCAGATTACCCGAAATCATCAACATTTTAATGAATCTACTGACGATTGTTAGACATTACAAAGAGTTTATCCTTCTCTAAGATTTCACGATTTCAGTTAAAGAACCTCTGGAGGCGTACTGGACATCTTTTTTGTCCTTGTTCAAGACTCTTCAGAAGCAAAAACCTATGATCCTACTGTTAGAGGTTAAACCTAGAGGCTAAAGGGTGAGCTCGTAAATCATTCAGACACTGGGATGGAATCCAGTGCCTAATCAACACTAACTTCCATCAATTCATACTATATACCACGATAGCCAACCAATTGATAAACCCTACTGTTTACTACTTCTCATTAGAAATTCATACAACTTTGTCCTTTAGTCAGTCAGTAGTGAGCACTCGACTCACTTTCAGGTGTTGTTCTGCAGGGATTTGATTGGTTTCAAGATAGGAATTTTTGCAAGTCAACTTAATAATCGTCTTTTCACCACCTATATTTTACCCATTCGTAAACTGAACTCTCCGAAATTTCCCCTCTTATAAAATGATTGCTTAGAATTAAAAACATAAAAGAGAGTTTAGGATATAACTTTAATTCCTTTGAAGCCGATGAAAAATAGCATCTTTCCACTTTTATATTAAGGTATTATTTTGACTTTTTTGAATAATGTCATGAAATATCACTCTGCTGAAAATTTTGTATCCTATCGAATGAAAATGTTATGTGTTATTTAGGATTTCGATGAGTATCGTGAACAGTAAATGCAGCATTTTTACTGGTCATCTGGATGAATAAGCTTTAAAAGCTCTGTTATATAACATTATCATGAAATCTGCAGCAGAAGGAATACTTATTACATTTTTAAGAATTGATTTGCTGTTCAAGTTTAACGATGAATTGATATCAGTTAGGGAACTATTGAATACCAGGGAATACTGGACAGCTGGTTCTTTCCAGTTTAAGGCTCATCGACATTACACATCTCAACGGGTTCCGGATTCAAGACCTCCCGTTTACAAGGCAAGCCCATACATAGTTCAGCCACTGGGAACTGACCCAATGGCCCATGAATTCTAACTTCTACGAATCCGTGATTTAAGCGCAACTGGCACCAGCCATTGTGATTGACGAGCATTTTTCCTCACTCCTGATAAGATAACATTTTGTTGCATGTGTTGACTACTTGTTATTATTATCGTTCCCTTGGGTTCCTAGTGGAACATACGGCTTCAACTGCACGTCCCCCTCCACTTCCTTCTGTCTTCTGCTGCTGTACCTTTCACCTGCATCCATGTTAGTCAGTCCATTCTGTTTCAACTCCTCTTCACACGATCTCCTCCATGTCACCCTTGCACCGACGACTCACTTGCCGCTTCTCTTTCGGCCTGGTTCCACTTGAGCAATGGCCTGACGCGCGCGCGATGTCACCCGGCGCCCACCTCAGCGAGCGAGTGTTCAATCCATCTACACTTTCTCCCGCATATTTGTTGGACGAGCAACTGGTTCTTGATTTGTTTGTTACCAGCCATAGTTTCTCGTTGGTGATTCTTTCCGGCCCGGCCATCTGATATTCAGTATAGATCCAGGAAAACAGTTGTTGGTTGATGTAGGTCTGCAATAGCCTGTTGGAAATATTCTTTGTGACCCGCCCACCAAGTTTCTGATCCGTATAGAAGAACTGACTGACTTGACGTTGTTTGTATTGAAAATCCGACTGAATTTTGTTGTTGATGCTGGCTGAGTGACGAAGATTTCCAGATTGGTTTCAGGCTGATGAATGTGTGTCTTTCTCGCCTTCTCGATTCTCGCTCGATTTTACATCCTCGTCCGTTTCGACTGGCTGTAGTTGAGACAATGCTCAGTGCTAGATAAGTGAATGAAGTAACCTCTTTCAAATCCATCCCGTTGGTGGTGATTGACGTTGGATGTTGTTGCTTCTGTTGGTTGGTTATTTTCATAATCTCCGTCTTGTCTATGTTCACCTGGAGTCCTTTCTTCGCCAGCTGCTTCTTCGACCAGTTTGTCAGTTTTCGCTTGTAAGTCTTCGATTTTGTGACAGTGACATCAAACATAAATCATCCACGCGCGAAATCCAGGTCTTCTAGGTTCTTCACGTCGGTCCAGGATATTCCTGTCTTCTCGTTTCCCACTCGCTGTCTGACGCATAATCCAGTCAGTCCACCACAATTAGGAATATCATCGTGGGTGGTAATAAGCACCCTTGTCTGACTCCTGTGTTTACTCCAAATGCCCCGCTGAGTTTTCCGTTGTGGATCACTTGACATGTCCCGTTGTCGTAAAGCTGTCTAATAAGGTTGATGAATATTTGAGGTACGCCATAGTATTCGAGTAGTTTCCAATTACCTGCGGTCAACGCAGTCGAAGGCCTTCTCAAAGTCTGTGAAGTTGAGGTAGAGGTTTGTTTGCCATTTCATGCTTTGTTCGATGATGATGGTGCGTAGAGTTGCAGTTTGGTCAAAAAATGATTCGCCTTTCCTGAATCCAGCTTGTTCTGGTCGGAATTCTGCATCCAGTGCGACTTTTATTCTCTCCAAGATGATGCGACTCAGAATTTTA